TCCTTCTGAGGTCTAGATCTCTATATTCAAACAGATATTCAAACAGGCTAGTGGAATCTTCTCCTCAGTGTCCGTGGGCTACTTATACTTAACATGGGACAGAAGACACCCTCCTGGCCCCCTGCCCACTAGCAGATGATGCATTGTCCCTGGTCACTGTCACAGAGAATGGCAGCATCACTACCCAGTCACCCGGAACAGAAATATGCTGGTGATGCAGGGTAATTGTCATCCAAGATTTCTGACTCTCCTGCAAGCCTCCAAACCAATTTATCCCAGGCACTTTGCCTTACTTTTCACATAACTCATCCTTCCACCCAGCCTGCCACCTTACCTCGGCCTCTCATCAATTTTGCCCAGATAACTGTGTGTTACCTGTCTCCCTGTCCCTGATCCAGTTCTCCTTCAACCTTCCCTCTCTCTACCTACAAGAGATATTTTTCTAAAATTCAAATCAGATCATAAAATTTGCCTTTTAAAACATTTTAAACGTCCTTTCCTTCCACACGATGGTGTAACAAATAAAGCCATTTCTGGCCTGGGTCCTGTGAATCTGGCCTTCTTTATTTTCTCCCACCCTCCAAGCTCAAATATGATCTCATCTGTGAAACATGATTCATGCTCATAGGCTTCAAACTGCTCAGATGTCCTACATCCCCCAGCTGAGATCAAACAGTCTAAGAGGCTTCAGAACCTCGGCTGTACATACTAACCATCTACTTGACCTTAAACAAGTTTCTTCATTTGTGTCCTATTTACTTATTTGTAAAATTGATATAATAACAGCACCTGTCTCATAAAGTCCTTCTGAGGTGTAAATAACATAATTCATGTAAAAGGATTAGCAAAGAGCACAGCACTTGGAGAGAACTCATCAAATGTTATTGTGAGGATTATCATAATGATTTCTATATGCATCTTTCCATTAGGGAATTATTCATGTATCTTCTGCAAGTAACATACTATCTGACACATAGTCGTGACTCTTTTAATGTTTGTTGAGTTTATCAATGAGTGAATGGGTAGATGAATCATTCATTTTGAATAATATTGATTCATATATATTGATATGTATATAAATCAATATAATTTCTGGGTCAACAAGTAAGAAGTCAGGCATTTGGTAGGTGTCCAATAAATTATTCTTACACTTCATTATCGATGCCTAAGACTTATTTGAGTTCAGGTGTTCATCCAGTTTTCTCACCTCTCTGAGATAAACTGAGGATGTAAAAATGAATAATGGAAAAACCCCATCATTCTTCTCTCACATGATAAATGTGACAAAATGAGGGTTTAATTAAGATCAATCAAATATCAGTGGTCTTGCTTCCAAAATCTGTATTAGTCAGGGGTCTCTGAATAAACAGACCAATAGGATGTGAATGTGTGTGTGTCTGTACATAAGAGTGTGTGTGTGTGTGTGTGTGTGTCTGTGTGTCTGTGTGTGTGTCTAGAGAGAGAGAGAGAAAGAGCAAGATTTATTTTAGGAATGGGCTTATGCAATCACGGAGGGGATTAGCCAGTCTAAAAACCTACATGACAGGACTGCAGACTTGAGACCCAGGGAAGAATTGATGTTTCAGTTCCAGTCTGAAGGCTGTCTGCCGGCAGGTGCTTAGAAGGATTTTGATAGGATTTCTATTACCCTTTTATTACGCATGAGGACATTCAAAGTGAGAGTGATCACAAAGCCAGTAAGCTGTTACTGATTACTAAAACCCTGATTACTAAATCCCACCACTGTCCATTAAAGCACACAGCAATTCTCCAGTGATTTCTAAACCCTCCTGAAGAGAAAAATATATGCAAATAACTTTCACAAATAGCTTTCCTAAAGCAAAGAGACTATGTGCTTTATTTCCTTTATATATTCTTTGCTCCTAAGAGAATGGCTATAAAGTGCAGGCTGTGTCTGAAAGCAAAGAGAAGGAGAGGAAATACTCCTTCCTCTGAAAGCAAAGGGGAGACATGTAATGAGTGTCCTTGGGTTTCCAACATGTGAGATATTTTCTTTAAAAATTCTGACCAAGAATATTCTTAGCTGTGCTTATATGTCCCCTGACTCATCTTTTAGCTTAAGATCCTAAAGAACGTTGACCTTCAAAAAATGTCCAGAAGGAATAATACATTAAGCCTTTGCTGAGTTCCAAATGTTAGCATATCAATTACAAATCATGATCCCTTTGTGATAGAAGGCAAGAGGGAGACAGCTGAGGAGAACTACAAGACGGAAAAGTTATCTGTGTGAGCATTTTTTCTGAGGCCTTATATTTTCCAATCTGCCTCAAATTATGAGGTTTATTTGTACCAACTTCCAGTAATGGTTTTAAACCACATTGTTCAAAGCACAACATAATTGTACCCCTTAAGTCAGCTTGCTTTTCAGCCAAATCAAATATTTCTGTCTCCACCAGAACTTGGAAATGAGAGCTCGGTAGAATATTTCAACTTATCGTTTACATGGGATGGTTCACCTGTGTAAGATATTCCTGTCTTTTTCCTTGGTCTTTTTTATCTCTGATATTTGAGGATAGAAGATTTTATTCTTCTAGCTAGGCAATGTTCTCTGGAAAGCCATTCTCATCCTCATTGACATGAATGAAGAATTATGCATGGTTTAATGATGAGGTATAAACATTTTTTTATAGACAATGATGTCATTTATTTAAATGTTTACTCCAAGAAATATATATATATATCAATTATATATATTAATATATGTTATATATATATAATATTTATATAGAGAGAGATATATACTCAATGCAGGGCACACCATATATATATATATATATATATATGTAAAAAATAAGACAATTACAGCACTAAACCAGGAACCTTCGACCGAATCACAACCTCCTCTTTCATTTCCCTTCATGCTAAGCCCCTTTCAAATTCTTATTCCTGAGCTGGAAGACCATCAGATGCCCGTGGGGTCAGCGCCAGGCATGTTTCCAGTCAGGCAACTGTGTACTTTTCTCTAGGAGTGCAGGATGCCCTTCCCCCAGCTTCTTGTTTTAAAGGATTTAACTCATTAGTAAGTTTATGTTTCAATCTAAGCCAAAAGGAGGTGCGGATAAGGCAGTCTTCACTTCTAAGGTCCCTTTCCTGCTCCAGTCCCTGGCTAGGGTTCTAGAAGAGGCTGGGTGCTGGGTTTACATGAGGCCGCTGGAAGGTCTAAGTCAGCTCTGCCCAGGGCGGCTCCTGCAAAGGCTGGGACTTGGGTGCTGCTTCCTCAACCATTTTGGTGACTGTGACTCAAAGGAGGGACTTCAAGGGAGCCAGGAGCACAGGTGCCTGGGCTGCCTTCCAGAAATGAGACCTGTCCGGGGAAATGGATCAGGCTGTTGCATGGAAGCTTGAGTCAGAGATGGTGGTTTTGGGGTGATTTGGACAAATCAGATGACTTTAGCAAAGCTCTGAAGAGGCAGAAGCTTCTTCCTTGGACTACTGATTGAACACAGAACAAGAGATGCACGTGGTGTCAGACTAAGTCTTAGAGAAATACAAGCCAGCCTCCTCCCACAGGGTCTTGGGACTGGCATAACAGACACTCCTATGTGCCCTCTGAGGGCAGGAGTCACGGTAAGGAGCGACTGGGGCGGAAAATAGGGAAAGAAGTGACAACAACTAGATCATTTTTGGCATTTTAACATGGAGACAGTGACAAGTGGTAACAACAGCAAGAGAAAAAAAAAAAAAACTTGAAGACACCCATCCACCCAAATCTCACACTGAAGTTCCATTACCATCATCCCTATAAGCACCACTGAACCAAATATCCATTTTAAAGCACCCAAACCAGTCCAGACCCCCTGGAAACAAACAACCCCAGCCAGAGCTGCCACCTCTCTTGGGTCCAGGAGAGGGGAGGGTTCCAGGAAAGGCACCTCGTAACTCACTCAGTGCAGGGCACACAGAGGTGAGCTGGGGCACGGGCACTTGATGGGGACCCAGGTGGCAGTCACAGCATCCATGCAGACACGCAAGGAAGGGTACTCCTCAGTAATCCCAACAGGTGTAAACTTTAATTGTGAAGTATAAACTAGAATTCAGACTACTGAAGGTAATGGACACCAGAGATATTATCTTTTTAAAATTATTAGTCTTTCTAGAAAAATATTTTTGCTTGCTATTAATGCATTCTATGGTTAAGGTTGCTTCCTAGCCACTCAGTAGCTGATTAAAAGCAGAGATTACAAAACATCTCTGAAATAAGCACTTACGTCTGGAAGGGAATAATCACAACACAAAGGAAGCATCTAGCTGACCAAACTTTCGCCATGATTTGGAATTCTGAACTGAGGGCTGAAAACTAGAAGGATATTAACATAAACTCCTTTCTCCTTTCTAGAACACTCAAATAATTTTATTTACATCACTTCTAATGAACGGAAAACCAGGATAGAAAGAGAAAGCTAGGAAGTGAATAGGTAGGTTCTGAATCACTGGTCAATAGCATTGAGCATTAGCATTTGATTAGAGTGCAGATATTTGTGTGTATAATTGGCAAAGGATGATTGCCACAGTGAGCCAAGTGCACATGACGCCTCTTGACCATGGTGTCACAGCGATAGGCCCGGGAACCTGTCACCATGCTGCATGATGAAATGGCAAAATCAAAAGAGGCAATTTCCAGGAAGTATTTCTGACTTCCTGGCTGCACATCTCTTCTTTCCTCACATGGTATGATTAAAACTTTAGCTAGATCTCATTTAACCAGCAAAGCAAAATAATTTATTATATTCAAATAATGGGGATTTTAGGATTTAATATTCATTCAGTTTTGTTTTTTAAAATCATTGTTTTGTGGAGAAATTCAACAAAATTAATTACAGCTGATTATATTATGCTCACCAGATTAAGGGTGCATCGGTTTTCCCCAGCCCACTGACCCAAATATTAATCTCTTTTGGCAACATCCTCACAGAAACACCCAGGATTAATACTTCGTGTCCTTCAATCCAATCAAGTTGACAGTATTAACCATCACACAGGCTAAAGCAAAACATATGATCTGTAAGCACTCTACAGATCAGTAAACTCTGAACAAAAGTGACTAAGAAATTTTAAAACTAACACCCTTCTTTACAAAGTGGCAGTGTAGCAGTCATTTCTTTTTAAGGAGAACTTTGGACACTATAAGCAAGCAGAAGACCCAGCTTCTGGGAAATACCCTCTGGGATGCAACTTTACTCCTTTTTAGGTATGTTTATGAAAAAGGAGAAACAACAGCAATCCATTTCCAAATATTTTAGGATATTTTTAATGGGAAAATGTAAAATATTTTTATGTTTTTTCATAGTGGATTCCTTCCCAGCAGTAAGCATTTATGGACATGGTACAACATAAATGCAGGGTGCTAGGGAACGCAAGGCAAAGCAAGAATGACCGAAGCTGGGAAGAAAAGATGTGTCCTCCAGAAATACATACAAATTCCCCTAATGCAAGTTCTGGGTAAGTATGATGGCACATCCTAAATGCATAGAATTTTTAACAAGTATAGGGGAATGAATGAATAGATAGATAAATTAGAGAGAGAGAGAAGGGAAGAGAGAGAGAGACAAAGAAATGGATTCAAATGTCATTCAGAATATTGCTATGCAAAGTTGTACACACTTTTATGATATCATCTACATACCACGTATTTGGAGTTCTTCTTTGGGAACTGCCTTCCTAGCAAATTTACTAATTACAAAACATACTTTTTTTCACAAATGCGACTTTTGACCATAAAAGACAATATTTTCCTAGTTAATTACTAGTTTATCAGACTTTGATCCAATTGTATTTTGTATATTAAAGGAAAATCAAATCCATTCTAAAAGTCCAACATATCTGTCAGCTGAAAATATTTAAGAATAATGTGAAAGATGTTTCTGAATGGAAATTTTTATACTTTTTTATTATTTAGCAATAGTAGCAGTATCAGTAAAGTAACACCTCTTAAAATGATTACTATGAAAACAATCACCAAACATTTAGAAGAGTCTTTACAGCTCAGGGATCAAAAGCACATGCAGAACTTTGGGCAAATTATTTTATTTCTTGAGCTTTAGTTTCCTATCAGTGATAAACAAAGCTCATTCTATTTCGTGGGATGATGATGATTATTATTAAGGTGGAGTCTCGCTCTGTCTCCAGGCTGGAGTGCAATGGCGCAGTCTCGGCTTACTGCAACCTCCGCCTCCTGAGTTCAAGTGATCCTTCTGCCTCAGCCTATGGAGTAGCTGGGACTACGGATATAAACCACCACGTCCAGCTAATTTTTTTGTATTTTTAGTAGAAACAGGGTTTTACTATGTTGGCAAGGATAGTCTCGATTTCTTGACCTCATGATCTGCCTGCCTCAGCCTCTCAAAGTGCTGGGATTACAGGTGTGAGCCAGAGTGCCCAGCCTTCGCGGTATTATTGAATGAGAGCATGTATAAATCAGTGGTGTATGACAATGTCATGCACCTCCAAAACCTTCAGTAATGTTTCCTAGTATTATTTGATAATAGGCACCTTATAGCAGGCTTCTATATAGGCCTACCTTGTTATCATGAAGACATATTTCACGTATACCATGTATCAAAGTTTGTACAAATTATAAACCCTGTAAAATTTCATATAAGTCACATTTAGTTATTGATATTGTGTAAACAAAACTGAAAAAGACGTTTTGAACCCAACCAGCTGAAGTTTGAGAGTGGAACCATGGTTCTTCCTAAAATCTGAAAAGGGGTTTTCTAGTACTATGTTGAGACAGCTTGATTTTTCATGAACTGGTATGTATGATAAACTGGACTTTGTTTACATATTTTTGTTCTTATTTAACTATCTATATGCTCTAATTGTGCAGTGCTTCTGGACTTGCATGCATACATATTTTGTTAATTAGGCATATTTACTCATACATGTTAAGTCATTTTTTAAAATTCAAAGAGTTCTGTAAGACAGGTTATGAGAAAGAGTAGATGCTTAACATTTTCACTATTCTTGTCCTTTCCAGAGGCATACATATTAAACTCTTTTAATGGATTACTTTGTACTTGTATCTATGATGGTTAGAAATATGTATCAACTTGAATAGGTCATAAGGTGCATAGATATTTAGTTAAACATTATTTCTGAATGTATCTGTGAGGATGTTTCCAGGTAAGATTAGGATTTGAATTAGCAGACTGAGTAAAGCAGGTTGTCCTCCCAAGTATGGATGAGCATCATCCGATCTGCTGAGGGGCTGCAATAAAACAAAAAGGCAGAGGAAGGAGAATTTGCTCTCTCTATGTGAACTGGGACATCACCTTCTACTGCTCTTGGACTGGGACTTACACTGTCAGTGCTCCTGGTCCTCAGGCCTTAGATTAACTTGGGCTGGTTAATCTAGGCTTACCATGGTCTTGATAACTCATTCCCATCCTCCTAGGAATTTACTTTGCCTCTCTCTTCTGCTGCATCTTATGGTTACCTGTTTCTTGGTTTTCTTCTTGACTTTAACAGAACACAACCTCCCGAGAAAGGTGAAAGGATCATAGACAATCATAGTTTTCAGTTCTTGCATATCTTAAATTATCTTATCCATAAACTCACATTAGATATTTGGCTTAACAGTTTTGTTGTAGATTATTTGTACTAAGAATGTGAAAATATTTCTCCTGTGTCTTCAGGTTTCCAGTGTTCTATTAAGAAATGTGATGGCCTTATTCTTTGCATAAAACTCTCTCTAGAAGCTTCTAGAGGCTTCTTTTTGCCTCCATTACTCTAAAATTTTAATTACGTTTCCTGGTCTGGGCCTATTCGCATTTATTGCATAAGACATGTGGGACAATAAAACTCACATTTTTTAGTAATGAATATATTTTAAAAATATATTTAATCATCTAATTTTCTTATCTTCAATTTCCTACCTCTATTTGCTCTGATTTCTAGCTATCTTCTATGTTATCTTCCACTACTTCCACTTGGTTTTTCATTTATATAAACATGTTTTTAACCTCGAAGAACTTCTTTTATTTATTTATTTTTTTTTGAAATGGAGTCTTGCTCTGTCATCCAGGCTAAAGTGCAATGGCACAATCTCGGCTCAATGTATCCTCCACCTCCTGGGTTCAAGGGATTCCAAGAGCTTCTTTATATTTTATGAAGCACTTCATAAGATACATTTATTGGTTTATGTTTCATTTTCCCTCTTCGAATATTAATGATATGTTTGAGATATTCTTCTACTTACATATTTCTTATTCAGTATTTGTCTCTCTGATTTCTTTTTACAAAATATTATTCCTGTTATCTGCAACCCCTTCTATTTGTCATTATGGGTGTATTGTTTTTCAAAAAATGTATCTGGCAGCTGTTTTTTAAGAGTCTTTAAGGGGTTCCAGAACCATTTATGCATTCAGCCCTCATGTTTAAGCAGCCCATATTCACCTGTTTCAAAAATCCTTCCCATATACTCATGATTCAGAATCAAAATTCAGATTTATCTCCAGGACAAATAAGCTTAAAACAACTTATGTAACTGGGCTCAGTGGCTCACACCTGTAATCCCTACACTTTGGGAGGCTGAGGCGGGTGGGTCACCTGAGGTCAGGAGTTCAAAACCAACCTGGCCAACATGGTGGAACCCCATCTCTACTAAAAATACAAAAATTAGCTGGGCATGATGGTGGGTGCCTGTAGTCTCAGCTACTTAGGAGGCTGAAGCGAGAGAATCGCTTGAAACTGGGAGGTGGACAAGTTGCAGTGAGCCAAGATTGCGCCGTTGCACTCCATCCTGGGCAACAAGAGCAAAACTCTATCTCAAGAAAATAAAAACAATATCAAAATACTTATGCGAACTTCTAGCTGTTCCTCCTTGGGCAAATCAATCTCAACTGCAATGCTGAGTATACGGTCTATTTTTCTTTTTCTTTTCTACTTTAGTTTGCACTCTTGATCTTGTTTAAATGTCTAGATTTTTTCCAGAGTGTTCCTTCAAAGGCTGTTTTCACTTGTGGATGCTTCTTGATCCTGTTCTATTCTGTGACAGTGCCACCTCATAGACATTGAATGAGAATCACAAATGTGAGCCACGTATGTCCATTTTAATTTTCTAGGAGCCATAAGAAAGCAAAAAGAACAGGTGAAATTAATCTTAGCAATAGCATTAATCTAATATACCCCAAATACTATTTTAACATGTAATTAAATATAAAATAATAAGTTTTGTTTTTTAATTTTGCATAGTGAGTCTTCAAAATCTGGTGGGTAGTTTGCCCTTATATCACCTTTCACCTTAAGCCAGCCACATTTCAGATTCTCAACAGACTTGTGACTAGTGACTCCCATATTGGATACAATAGTTTGAGATACTTGCAATACAAAATCTAGGAAGGCATGATATCTCACTCTACACAGCTTGTAGTCAAATAATTAAGACACACACACATAGAAGCAAGGAAAGCACTGTCCGATGATTGCAGCTAGAAATTTTCAAGGGAAAAAAACTCATCTAAATAAGATGGCCCTTGCAGAAAAGGCATTCTTGAGGAAGGGATGCTACTTAAAGTAATAAAAGTAATTTCATATTATTGCCATAAATATTACATACAGAACACAATGCTATAGAGTTCATCAATGACAAATTTAAACAGCATTGCATATTAGCCTAATATTTTGAAATTTAACTAGAAACCATAGGAAACAAGCAAACACTTTTAAATTTGGAAAAATTGTAATCATGCGTTTGTGAAAATATTCTAATTGTATGGTAGAGACTAGATGGGAAAAGGGCCATGTTGGGAACAAGGAGATCGGATCAATGTCCAGGAGTCTGCTGAGTAACAGGTGGCATGAGAGTGAACTAAGACAGTGGTTGTGGAAATGAGAAGATGAAGTAGATTGGAGACTTTTGAACAGGGTGGATTCACAATGTACTGACTGTTTGGATGGCATCAGGAGAAAGAAAAAGGGAAAGTGAGTGGGGACATTATTATGACTCTATTTCTGATTTGGGGAAGGGGAAGATGATTTCATGCACCAAGATATAAATTACAGGAGCAAAAGGAGAAGATATTTCTTTTTACTCTACGTTCCCGGATACATGTGCAGAATGTGCAGGTTTGTTACATAAGTAAACATGTGCCATGTTCAAAAGCAGAAGATTTGTGCTTAACAATGATGTGTTGCCTTGTAAGCATGATTTACTGTTGGAAAACTGAGTAGAAATCCCCAATGACTAACTAAAGATGGTTCTAGAGCTCAGCAAAAATATAGAAGGATAAACACGAGAGTCTATTCAGTATACACATACAAGAATTTTTCCATGACCTAAAATAAGCTAGAATTTCAGACATGATGTAGATGTCTAAAAAAGGATGAAACGTGAAATGAAATTAAAGACTATGTAGGAGTCTTTTAAATGCAAACACTAAACACAGACATGCAACAAGACAGAAATTCAACACTTTACCAATGACTTACAAGTATATTTTACTTGGCAAGACATTAAGTTTTCCATGCTGACAATATAGTAGATAAGTGTCTTAAATAAACTCAGGAGACAGCCCAAGCACGATTATTAAATTTTCTCAAAAGATAATTTAAAAGTTATTTGTACAGTTCACCAACATGTGATCAAAGCAAGATGATAGAGTTGAGTGAGAGGAAGATTTGTTTGCACTTGTCACATTATGCTAACTTTGTATCTCATTCATCAAGTTGTCTCTGGTGTACCCTTCAGCAATTTTGTGCTGCCTAATAAAGTTCAGCACATGATAATGTCCCTCTAGAGGAAACTATAATAGATTTGAAAGCATTCAGAATGGTTCACAATTCTAGATTATTTGAGAAGTTCACTTCATTGCTTTAATTGTGTAATTAAAGCTGAAGCAATAATAATAATAGCAAGCATCAACTGAACATATGCTAATGAGTGCCATATTAGTGCTTCACACAATTTAGATAGCTTAATCCTCACAAGAAGACATTATGTAGGGACTATTTTTATACCCACTTTTTTTCTTTCTCTCTTATTTCCCTCCTTTCCCCTGCTGCCTTTTGTTTTACAGGAGAGTTACATTTCCAAGCACTTACTTCAGCTGGTTTCTTGCTGGATTCAACCAGTGGGAGGCACTGGTGTGAGATTAGATGATGGAAGGAAAGATGAAGACAGGACAATTCTCCCTTTCTTTTGGACAGCAGCAATCTTTCAAACTCCAATTCTTGCTTGGTATACAGTCTGCACCTCACAGCAGCACCCTTCATGGTATGGCCCCCATGGGATGACCCAGAATCTGGGATTTGGGAATTCCACTTCCTCCTGTTGCCCTTCTAGCCCTGGGGGCACTGGTGACTTCCTGCTCTTGCTAATCTCCAGGGAGTCTCAACATTTCCTGTTTGGCTTCTCAGTTCTTCCATTGCCTGTGTCATTAGTGTTCAATATTATATTTATGTGGAACATTTCTGCTTTCCTAATTGAATAATCACATATATCTATATTTACTTGTTTTTATATATTTATATTATATATATATTAATTTTAATATATATTTATTATATATCATATATTTATTTATATATAAATATATGGTTATTTTTATATATATAACAAAAACGTACACACACATGACCTGTTATATGCTTATTTTATATTATAAGAGAAAGGGAAATATTTAATGTTTATTACAACTTCATAAGTACTGAGTATTATTATCCTTTTTGTTGTTTTTACATTTTTACAGTAAAGAATGGATTTCTATTTCAATAGTGGTTTTTAAGTTAAAAAAAGTACTCACACATTGTCTCTCCATCTTTTGGCTTGTTTTAACCTCTCATTGACACTAATCATATTATGCTATTGTAGTTTTTCATTGCTGTGGTGAAAACTCACCGCAAATTTAGTGGCTTGAAATAAAACATATTTATTATTTTCTAGTTCTGTAGGTCAGAAATCTGGTTTGAGTATCACTGGGCTAAAAAGAAGCTGTTGGCAGGACTACATTCTTCCTGAAAGTACTAGAGGAGAATCTGATTCCTTCTCTTTTTCTGCATCCAGCAGCTGCCATATTCTTTTAATCATGGTATCTTACTCCATTTTTAAAGCCAGCAACAGCAGGTCAAATCCTATTCACTTTACATAACCCTGAGGTTTATGTTATTCTGGGGGGCCCAGCAGAATCCAGAATAATCTCCCTGTTTTAAGATCAGCTAATTAGCAACCTTAATTTCATTTACAACCTTAAGTTCTCCTTTCCATGTAATAGGATATATTCACAGGTCCCAGTGATTATGATGTGGACCTCTTGGTGGGGGGGCATTATTCTATCTAATACAGGTACTTTTTATTTTTTACAAGATGGCTATTTCCTACTAGATTATGAGCTCTTTATGCATATATCTCATATCTCTGATTTCTCTACACTGCATTGCACAAAATAAGCGATCAGTAAAAATGAAGCGCCTGCTTCCTTTTTTGATGCTGGTCCACCAAGAGCTTATCATAGTAAAAGCCTCCAACAAAATACACAAAAACCTTGGGGTAAGTCCCACTTCTTATATTTGTTCTACAAATATCAATTGTAAATAAATGTAGAATACAAACTGTTGAGCGTCTTGAGCCACTGCTGAAGTGTGCCCACAAAATGGGAGCGAAATGAAGAACCATTAAGTGATGTCAAGCTGCAGATGACAAGGCAATATGGCAGCAGCTTCCATGGTGGCGTGAGCCACCATGAGCTCAGAGGTTGGATGTTCTCATTTCTCAGTGCCGGAGGAGTCACTATACTTGAAAAACAGAGAACCATCTGTATTCACTCTTCCAGATAAATTCCAGTTTGTTAATGCTTTTAGAAATGAGTTTATTTGGGACATGATGGAACAAGTGTATAGTTGAGGAACCTATATTTACATATCTTTTGTATGCAGTCTAATGTATATAAAAGTTATGTAACACCAAAGAAGCAGCAAGTAGGATATGATAAAATAAGTTCATCTAAACCATTCTGGAGAAGAAAGAGAAAATAAGTAAAAGAGGTAAAAAAGAAACTGGATGCCGGCTCACAAACCCAACAAGTGAGCCAAAAGTTTGCTGGGAATTTCTAAGAATCATCATAAATTTTTTTCAATTCATATTTTAGTTTCAGGGAGTACATGTTCAGGTTTGTTACACAGGCAAATTGCTTGTCACCGAGGTTTGCTGTATGAATGAACCCATCACCTAGGCAGTGAGCATGGTGCCTGATAGGTAGCTTTTCAACATTCACCCTCTTCCCACCTTCCCTTCAAACAGTCCCAAGTGTCTGTTTTTCCCATCTTTATGTTCATGTGCAGTCAATGTTTAGTTCCTACTTGTAAGTGAGAAAATGCAGTGTTTGGTTAATTTGCTCAGGATAATGGTCTCCAGCTGCATCTATGTTGCTGCAAAAAAATATTTCATTTTTTTCTATAGCTGTGTAATAGTCCATGACATATATGTACCACATTTATCCAGCCCACTGTTGATGGGAACCTAGGTTGATTGTATGTCTTTGCTATTGTGAATAGTGTTACAACGAACACTTGAGGCATGTGTCTTTCTGGTAGAACATTTATTTTCCTTTGAATATACCCAGTCATGGGATTGCTAGTGGTTTTAAGTTCTGTTTTAGGTTCTTTGAGAAATCTCCAAACTGCTTTCCAGAGTGGCTAAATTAATTGCTGTTCCCACAAAGAGTGTATGAGCATTTCCTTTTCTCCACAGCTTGACCAAAATCTGTTATTTTTTGACTTTTTAATATTAGCCACTAAGACTGCCATGAGATGGTAGGTATCTCACTATGGTTTTGATTTGTCTTTCTCTGATGATTAGAGCTGTTGAGAATTTCTGTATGTATTTCTTGGCCACATGTTATGTCTTCTTTCAAGATGTATCTGTTCGTGTCTTTTGCTTTTTTTTCATGGGACTGTTTGGTTTTTGCTTATTGATTTAAGTTCCTTATAGATTTTTTATATAAGACCTTTGCAGGATGCATAGTTTGCAAATATTTTCTCCCGTTCTGTAGGTTGTCTGTTTACTCTGTCAATAGTTTCTTTTGCTGTGCAGAAGTTCTTTAGTTTAATTAGGTCCCACTTATCTATTTTTATTTTTGTTGCAATTGCTTCTGGGGTCTTAGTCATGAATTCCTTGCCAAGATCAATGTTCAGAATGGTATTTCCTAAATTTTCCTCTAGGATTTTATAGTTTTTGGTTTTACATTTAAGTCTTTAATTCATCTTGTATTAATATTTGTATATTGTGAAAAATGAGTCGTTTTATTCTTTTGCATGTGGCTAGGCAGTTATTCTAGCACTACTTATTCAAGAAGGAGTTATTTTCCCATTGCCTGTTATCAATGTCATTGAAGATCAGATACTTGTAGGTGTGCATCTTCATGTATGGGTTCTTATTCTGTTCATTGGTCTATTTTTCTGTTTTTGTACCAATAGCATGCTGTTTGTGTTACTGTAGCCCTAAAGTATTGTTTGAAGTCAGGTACTATGATGCTTCCATCTTTGTTTTTCTTGCTCAGAATTGTCTTGGCTATTTGGGTTCTTTTTTGTTTCATATGAATTCCAGAATTTTTTTCCAATTCTATGAAAAATGATGTTGGGAGTTTGATAGAAATAGCCTTGAATCTGTAGATTGCTTTGGGCACTATGGCCATTTTAACTATATTGATTCTTCCAATCCATGAGTATGATATTTCCATTTGTTTGTATCATCTATGGTTTCCTTCAGCAGTGTTTTATAGTTTTCCTTGTAGATATTTTTCACCACCTTGGTTATATGTTTTCTTGGTTATTTTATTTTGTGTGTGTGCAGCTATTGTAAATGAAACTGTGTTTTGGCTCTGAGCTTGAACATTATTGGTATATAGAAATGCTACTGATTTTTCTGCATTTATTTTGGATCCTGAAACTCTACTGAAGTCATTTTTCAGTTCTAGGAGGGTTTTAGTGCATTTTAAATGGGGCATTTTATCATATATTTCAAGGTTAATATTTATAGGTGAGGTTTTTATTCTACCATGAAGTTGTTAGCTGGTTGTTTTGTAGTTTCTATTGTGTAGATGCATTAAAAGACCTAGGTACTTAGCTGTAGTTTTCTGGAAACAGATATAAGTCTTTTGTCTCCATGTTTAGAACTCCCTTGAGTCTCTTGTAAGGCTAGTATAGTTGTAATGAATTTCTTTAGTGATTTCTTGTCTGAAAAATAATTTAATTCTGCACTTATGAAGCTTTGGTGGGGTATGAAATTATTGGTTGGAATTTCTTTTCCTTAAGAATGCTGAAAATAGGGCCCCAGTCTCTTCTGGCTTGTAGGGTTTCTGTGGAGAGGTCTGCTGTTAGCCTGCTTGGTTTGCTTTATATGTGATCTTACCTTTTTCTTTAGCTGCCTTTAAGAATTTTTTTTTTTAGGATTGACCTTAGACAGCCTAGTGACTACATGTCTTGGTGAGGTTCATTTTGTATAGTATCTCACAGATGTTCTCTGAATTTCTTGTATTTGCATGTCTACCTTTCTAGCAAGATTAGGGAAATTTTCTTGAATTATTCTTTCAAGTTTTCTGGGTTGTTTACTTTTTGGGCTTCTCTCTCAGGAATACCAATAATTTACAGGTTTGGTCACTTTACATAATCCCATCTTTCTCAAAGACTCAGTTCATTTTTTAAAATTATTTTTCTTTGGATTAGTTTAAAAGACTGATTTTCAAGCTCAAAAATTCTTTTTTCTGCTTAGTCTAGTCCACTGATAAAGCTTTCAATTATATTTTGAAATTTTCTAAGTGAGTTTTTCAGTTCCAGTAGCTCTAATTGATTTTTTAAAAATGTTTACCTCTTCTTTTATTTCCTGGATTGTTTTAGAAGGTCTTTGTGTTGATTTTCAACCTTGCCTTGGATCTTGTTGAGTTTCCCTGCAATCCATGCTTTGAACTCTCCATCTGTTATTGCTGTGTCTCCATTTTGGCTAGGGATCATTGCTGGGGAGCTAGAGTGAAACTTTGATTGTGACACAACATTGAGATTTTTCTAGAGGCAGAATTCTTATGCTGGTTTCTTCTCATCTGAGAAAGTGTTGGGTGGGTTTTTTTGGCTTTGTTGTTATGGTCCTATGCACTTCTGTCAGCAGGTTTTATATTGGGCTGGGTGGTTCAACCTACATGACAGAAGATGACATTTGCAGGTAACTGCCAGCTGCAGCATACGCAGGTGGGTATAGATGTGATTTTTATTTACTGTGGGGTGCTCTCTGCTGTTTCAGATGAAGGGTTGGCCATGACTGGTTGAAGCAAAATTTAGAAATGCATGAAATGATTCTAGAAATGAAAATATGTGAAGTAAGAAGAAAAGAGTGAGGTAAAACTAGCTACTTCCATTTTTCCCCAAAAGCTATGGCTTATGCCAGGCTGAAGAGGAAAGTTAAATGTGCAGCACACACATGTTGCCTGCTAGAATGTGAGCCAAGAGGAAGCCTGAGCACATCCATTGCTATTGAAACTGGAGTTTAGAGCCATCTGGTTCAAAGCCATGCATTACAGCTGAAAAGGACTAAGGAGTGTACGGATGCCAAAATATACATTACCAGTTCATAACAAAAGCAGGTAAAAAAAAATCCACGTTCCTTAATCTTATTTTGCACTACTATGACAATTTTATATTCTGAAATAGGTTTCAGATTTCTAAAAAACTGCCAACATCTTAAGCAACTTTTTAATAAACTAGTCTCTGGCAATACCATTTAAAAAGTCCACGCATGTACCTGGTAAAAGGGAAATGTGCAAAATACAATATCCTTTGGGATAGGAATAGATAGAAATACATTAATAAAATGAAGTATTGCCCTTAAACGTGAAGGACGTATTATTTAACCTTGGGATTATCCCTTTCTACTGTGGTGATTCTTAATCTAGTTTTGTCTTATTGGTTAATTTATCTTCTTTTAGTTACAAAATTAAAAGCTAAAGGAACATTGCCTTCATTTCGTTGTTAAACAAATAGAAGCAAAAGTGGTGAAAGTCGTTCCTTACAAAAATGAAAGACAGTCTATCTTTTTTTTCTTGGCAGACGCATTCTATAACTTTTGCCACCATATCTCTGACACTTTATTCCATTCTAGGTTCCATGGATGTTGACTGTTGCTGCTAAGTCACCCTAAGAATAGAATTTCTTTTATGTCAATCCAACTGTACTTGGCTTCTGTTCATGGCAATGATTCCTGGAACACGGTGAAACTGAACCTTCTTCAAGTCATTTGATGTTGAGTACAGAAGCTGTCACCTTTCAGTAAGCATTTATCCAAACTCTTGGATCCCAAAGGGATAAATGCCACCCCCTTACGGGTGCTAAAGAAGACCTTATAACTTACAACTGGTCACTAGTAAAAGGGGGGTGAAAATGATGGAGATTTCTGTTTCCCACGTACATCTTAGAACCAAGTACTGATAAAGCCTTGTATTTATTTAGGCTTCAGTTGGTCTGAAATAATATATGCCCCAGCAAAATTGGCTTATTTATTTGTTTGGGGTGAAGATCCCAGGCATAAGTTTATAATTTTGACCTCTAGAAAATATAGTAATAATTTTAAGTCACCTAATTGTTACTATCCATATAAATAATATTATTACAATAAATGGTTTATATCCATTAGAAAAATAAACCTTATAATGGTGAAATGAAACACTGTAAGGAGCTGTGTTGTTTGATGTTACAGCAAAACTTCCAAAACAATTCTAGGCCCCTCCACTTCTGGACTTCTCATTAAGCCTATAACAATTTTCTTTCTACTTTAATCTACTGTCATTATTACTTGGTTTTACTTACACTTGAAATCATCTTAATTGACACAGGGTATGGTAATATATAATGTAATATGATTCTTAGATTATATGTTTATAAGTAATTAAAGTATAACATGTATCATTCTTATTTTATGTCAATAATTTTCAATACAATAATGGAACTTGTTTTCTTTTCTATTTTTAAAAATAATTTGTCAGTTTTTATGCCCATTATAGAAAAATTTGGATTAAAATATTTTGATCAGAGAGATGTAAGAAGATGGAATCATAGAATTTGCTAAGACAGCTATAAGATATACTGCCTACTGATTTGTTTACTTCTTCTTTATGGTACTTAACTACCTGTGAGACAGTTTTCATTTTTTCTTAGTCATTCACCTGAGTTTACAGGCACCTCTGCTGTCGCAGTTTTCTGATCTCATATATAAGATTTTCAAAGCTCTATTTCTTTTTTACATAAGCTAGCATGAGTTCTAGAATGAGAGGATAAAGAAATGAGGAGAGAAAATTATCAAAGATGTAATTTAAGGATTTATTCAGAATTGAAGGATGCATGCTTTCAGTCTTAAAAGTCCTACTTAATAACAAATAAAATAAATTTTTAAAAATTCACACTGAGTCATATCGTACAACTTTTATAATACCAGAGATAAACAGACAATCCTAAAATCTTACCCATCTGGGTACACAGATCACATACAAAAGAATGGCACTCAAAGTTTACTGGATGATAAAACACAATGGAATAATGCCTTGAAAATCAAAGATAAACTTATTTTTAATCAATTTATAGTGCAATGACTGATCTAATTCTCCTCTCCTAGCTAGGCAGTCAAATTACACTTCCTTGTCCTCTTTAATATTAAATGTGGAAATGTAGTGTTGACGCTTGCTTTGGCCAATTAAATAAGAGTGATAGTCACATATATCACCTCAAGGTAGAAGGTGCATGATGTGCCATGCTTCTAACGGGCCTTGATAAATATGGTCCTGTGAATTGCTTGGCCAATAAAGAATAAATGGACATAAGGTGTGTCACTTTCAAATGGAATTTTCAGAGTGAGTGGAGTATTAAAGTCTTCTACAATTATTGTGTGAGAGTCTATGTCTCTTTGTAGGTCATTAAGAACTTGCTTTATGTGTATGGGTGCTCCTTTGTTGGGAGCATATATATTTAGGATAACTAGCTCTTCTTGTTGTACTGATCCTTTTACAATTTTATCAGAGACTAGGATGGCAACCCCTGCTCTTTTTTTGCTCTCCATTTTCTTGGTGAATCTTCTTCCATTTCTTTATTTTGGATCGATGTGTGTCTTTGCACATGAGTTGGGTCTCCTGAATACAGCACACCAATGGGCCTTGACTTTTTATCCAGTTCTCCAGTCTGTGTCTTTTGACTGGGGCATTAAGGCCATTTACATTTAACATTAATATTGTTATGTGTGAGTTTGATCCTGCCATTTTGTTACTGGATGGTTGTTTTGCCTGTTAGTTGACACAGTTTCTTCATTGTGTCGTTGGTCTTTACCATTTGCAGTGGCTGGTACTGGTTGTTCCTTTCAATGTTTAGTGTTTCCTTCAGAAGCTCTTATAAGGCAGGGTCTGGTGGTAACTAAATCTTTCAGTGATTTCTTGTCTGTAAAGGATTTTAGTTTTCCTTCACCTATGAAGCTTAGTTTGGCTGGATATGAAATTCTGGGTTGAAAGTTCTTTTCTTTAAGGATGTTGAATATTGGCCCCCACTCTCTTCTGGCTTGTGTGGTTTCTGCTGAGAGATCTGCTGTGAGTCTGATGGGCTTCCCTTTGTGGGTAACCCTACCTTTCTTTCTGGCTGCCCTAAGCATTTTTTCCTTTATTTCAACCCTGGTGAATCTGACAATTATGTGCCTTGGGTTTCTCTTCTTGAAGAATATCTTTGTGGTGTTCTCTGTATTTCCTGGATTTTAATGTTGGCCTGCCTTGCTAGGTTGGGGAAGTTCTCCTGGATAATATCCTGAGGAGTATTATCAAGCTTGGATTCCTTCTCGCACTCCCCATCACATTCAGATACACTGATCAAGTGTTGATTAGGTCTTTTCACATAATTCCATATTCTTGGAGGCTTTGTTTATTTCTTTTCATTCTTTTTTTCTCTGATCTTGCCTTCTTATTTTATTTCGTTGAGTTGATCTCCAATTTCTGATATCCTTTCTGCTTGATCAATTCAGGCACTGAAACTTGTGTATGCTCACAAAGTTCTCGTGCTATGTTTTTCACCTCCATCAAGTCGTTTATGTTCTTCTCTAAGCTGGTTATTCTAGTTAGCATTTCATCTAACCTTTTTTCAAGGTTCTTAGTTTCTTTGCATTGGGTTAGAACTTGTTCCTTTAGCTCAGAGAAGTTTGTTACTACCCACCTTCTGAAGCCTGCTTCTGTCAATTCATCAAACTCATTCTCCATCCTGTTTTGTTCCCTTGCTGGTGAGGAGTTGTGATCCTTTGGAGGAGGAGAGGTGTTCTGGTCTTTGATGATTTCATCATTTTCGCATGGATTTATCCCATCTTCATGGATTTATCTACCTTTGATCTTTGAAATTGGTGATTTCAGATGGGGTCACTGAGTGGACATCCTTTCTGTTGATGTTGAAGCTATTTCTTTTTGTTTTTTAGTTTTCCTTCTAACAGTCAGGCCCCTCTGCTGTAGGACTGCTGGAGGTCCACTCTAGACCTTGCTTGCCTGGGAATCACCTGTGGGGGTTGCCAATCAGCAAGTATTGCTGCCTGATCTTTCCTCTGGTAGCTTTGTCCTGGAAGGGTACCCACCAAGTGACAGCCAGAGCTCTCCTGCATGAGGTGTGTTTTTGGTTATACAGAGGTCAGGGAGCTGCTTGAGGAGGCAGTCTGTCCCTTTTCTGCCTGCGGAGTCACTGCTGGGCTGTCACAGACTCAGTCCAGCTGCTGTGTAAACTTCCTCTGGCTTTTGTTTAAACAGGTAGGTTTAGACCTGACTCAGCAATGGCAGACACCCTTCCACCCACTGAGCTCAATTGTCCTGGGCCAGGCTTGAACTGATGTACTGGCTGCAAAACTTTCAAGTAAGAGGGCTTTAGTTTGCTGGTCTTTTTGGGTGTGGGGCCATATTACCTGTCTCCCCGCTTTCAGCTCCCCCTCTTTCTGGGGATTGGGTAGCTCCATCCTGTAGGTGTTCTCAGTGCTACTCAAAACATTCACCCAGATCTGTGCCAATAACCCATGGCATCTGCTGGAGCTGTCACAGTGCTTTTCAACCCTGCAGGGATCTCCTGGTCTGTGGGTTGCAGAGGGTGTGGTAGAAGCACAGTATGTGAACCAGAGTGCTAGTGTGAGGGAAAGTCTCCGATCCTCTGGTCAGTTGTACTTCCTGAGTGAGGTGATGCCCCATTTTGCTATGGTTTGCCCTCCTTGGGCTACACCCACTGTTCAACTAGTCCCATTGAAATGAACCTGGTACCTCAGTTGGAAATATGGAGATCACTCAATTTCTGCATCTCTCTCTCTCTGGGAGCTGTGCTCTGGAGCTGTTCCTATTCAGCCATCTTGGCAGAATCTGTGTTTTTGTATATAGCAATATTCCAAGCCATGTACTGATTCAATGTCAAGTACTCAGTGATGAAACATCTGGATATATACCTTAGTCATGGACTTATTACTGTCTTCTGGGTGACTTCTAATTTAATGTATCAAAACTTATGTGCTCTTCCCATGCAGCAAAAGGCATTATGTTAAAGCTCCTCCCCAACATAGGGTGAATGTGAGAATTGGAAAGTATTAGTTCAATATAGTAGCCAAAGGACTAATTATGTGGTTTCACTGGAAAGGCAACCCTAATTCTAAATGAAGTCCCAGGAAAGCATTAGAGAAAGGATTCACCATTGGAGTTTTTTTTTTCACTCTAACATAAATCAAAAGTGACAGAGAATTGTATTGCAACTTCTTCTAAACTAAATTTATCTTGGAATAGAGACAAAACAAAGATGATTTATGAACTGAAGGACATTTTCCACTATTATTCTGAACATATGTAAACAAAGAATGAGACTGAAAAATCTATATGCCCTTTTACCTAGCCTCAGGGAACTATCTCATTGAAACTGTTTGCTACCTCATGGAAAATAACCAAAATGGATTAGCCCCATGGAACAAAAGAAGTGACATTATAAACTCAAGTGACAAGAAACAAGATCCCATAGGGAGCAAATTTCTTAAAAGGAACTTTCAAAGTTCCTTTCTTCTAGGTTTATCAGCATGGGGAGCTTAATTTCAAGAAGCTTTAGAGAGGGAGAAAATTGTGGCACACACTCTGCTTAGTTTAGATCTCTTAATCCTTCTAAATTGTTCTGCCTTGTTTAAAAAGATCTGCTTA